TCAGGAAATATAGCAGTATATTTAAAAAAAAACTTCTACATATTTTAAACTTGTTACAGAATATTAAAATATAACCAAATTATAAAAAGGATTTATTCATTAAGTTCATTCATATGTTCTTAAATTGGAGAGATCTCATGTTTGTCATTATTGATTAAAATACTTAATAACTTTGTGAAAAGGCAGTTACTGCAGTTTGCAAATGACATTTTAAGAACTATTTTTTTTGTTTAATATATCATGATGAATAACTTTTTTCTTTCGCGGTTTCCACCAGAGAAACTTGTTTCAATGATGGCTATGAAATTCTGAACATTCTAATTTATATTGTTACAACAAAATTTTATTAACCTCAAATACTGATTTTCGTTAATTTTCTTTGCAGGTAACTGGAAAATGTGGTTCTGTTACTGTGCGTTTGATCCCAGCTCCCCGTGGTACCGGAATCGTTTCTGCCCCTGTTCCTAAGAAACTTCTACAGATGGCTGGTATTGAAGATTGCTATACATCAGCTAGAGGTTCCACTGGTACTTTAGGTAACTTTGCCAAAGCTACATATGCAGCCATTGCAAAGACCTATGCCTACTTGACACCTGATTTGTGGAAGGATATGGCTTTAGCTAAGACACCATACCAAGAATTTGCTGATTACTTGGCTAAAAATCACCGTCCTGTCACTGGACCAGCTCGTGCGGAAACTGCTTAAGTTCATGTGTTTTGTGATCTTTTGTATGTAAAATAAATAACAGCTTTAAACATTTTTGTATTTGATTTTCCATGTACATATATAAGCTTGCCCTATTATCCAATCAAAGTACCTCCACTCATAATCTACAAACTGTTTAGTATTCTCAAAAGCTATAACAAAATGGTGCATGAGTGGCTCCGCGGCAAAGGTGACTAAGCAACAAAGTGGAGTTTTTATGTATAATTGCTTCTTTTAAGCCATCATCTAATGCATCGGCACTAAATTTCAATCTAGAATAAAAGCTGTGGAATAAACAAGTCCATTAAATAATTTCTCTTTTGTTATTGCTCTCCTTTTTAGGTAACAGAACATCTAGGTTGTACATTACAGTAGTTGAGGATGGGTGGCCTTTGGTTTTCTTGCTTAAATCAATCCATGTCCTGTACTGTCTTATCCATTGAATTTTAAGTCTTTCTACCCAGTTATAGTAGCTTTTCTATTTATCTTATTCTCAATGGACTTGCTACTAAAAAACTAGTGAGTCATTCTTTTGACCTGAAATTAAGGATTTCCTTTTGTGTCTGATTGAATTCTGAAAATCCAATCATTGGGATCAAAAATTCGATCAGTGTTTTCTCTCCTTTTCAATCAACCCAAAATCTTAATCGCATGTATTAAAACCATGTCCAGATACAAAAAATCTTTGATCTATAACTTTGTAGTGATTTACACTTATGAAGGTAATTCATTAACACTAAAGCCACCTTTATATTCTGATTCTACCCCCCACAAGCATCGCTATACAAAATCAGATATTGGGTTGGGTCAGGTAAGTGCGGCTCAAGATGGTTTATGAAGCTATCTCTTAAGCTCCTCTGGATGCCACATAACGGATTCCATCAAAGTCCAATACCTTCAACGAAGTCAAATAAAAGAGACTTACAGAAAATTTAAGAGCATTATTGGCTGATTTTCGTAATTCAAATACACCGTGTTTCAATAAAGATATTAATTATTTTATAGCGAGAACATTATTTTGTAAAGAATTGTTTCCTGACACCATATCTTTAGAAGTATAGATGAGGCCACAAGTAAGTCTAGTTCCTCGCACACACCGAAAACATCTCTAGTGAATTCGTATTCAGTACCTACCAATATATTTTAAATTAAAGCGTTTCATCACTTTTTGGAATTAAAACCTTCCGATTACATACAATCAAAACATTTCCGATCGATATACTGTACTATACATACCAATATACTGTGCAAACTCGTGAACTGTTATTACAGTTTTGACTTAAAACGCTACAGTTTGATGGATTGTAACAGTGTACTTCACGGAAATATGTTTGTTTAAAAGCTTCTTGAATTATTTTTAACTAAACATTCCCATATTGAGATGTGTTACAAAACATTCAGGCAAATATTTGTACCAAAGTACACACGAACTGAAACGTGCTGTTGGCGTGACGAGCAGAAACCCAAAATTATTTGTTGGAAAGGAACAGTGCCGTTTCAAAAAGTGATGACGAAAAAGTAAAGTTAGACGAGGATATCAGGAAGCTAGAAGTTGAAAAGACATTTCATTTGAAGAAGGTCGATTGGTTTTATGTTTTTTATACAGTAAAACCTGTGTTAACCGCAATAATTGGAGCGAGGCCTTTTCGGATAACAATTTCGGTTCAAAATAACATTGTTTTTTATAGTATTCTTGGAAAGTATTGGTATTAAAAAATACTATGAGGTGATTTCGTAATGTTTTCTAATAAGTAAATACAGAATTTTAATTTCTTCTCTCGTTTCTTTACCATTTTCTTCTTCAGGATCGTCAATCAAAATCCTATCAAAAAGTTAGTTCCAGCATTTTTCCAAAGTTAAAGATTTGATCTTGGCCCAGAACTCAGCACACCGATAAACAACATGTTTCATTGTTGAACATTTGAGGATTTCGGGAACACTTTTGGATTCATTCGTCTCCTGTAATAACAGATATTTTAAAAATGCTCCTTTATAATGTCTCTATTACTCACTGGTCAAACAGCTGAATTAAGCTCGTGACATTCGGTGGCAAAAATCTGACAATTATCACTATTGTGTAGATTTTGAGGGTGAGTTGGCGCATTGTCAACAAGCAACAATGCTTTGATGGGAAGATTTTTTTATTTTAAAAAGGATTTTACACTTGGGACGAATTCATTTTCGAACTATTCTGAAAATAAGGTAGTCGACATCCATGAGCTTTTTTGGCTTCTATAAAAAAACTGGAAGTGCTTTACCTCAAATATCTTTTAGAGCTCTTGATTTTTTTGATTTCCCAACACACATAGGTATCAATCGGTGAGTGAAATTAATGGAATTGTTTACGTTTTGCGATAAAAATTTACTTTTTATTGACGAAATTATTGAAACTGTCAACCGTTTCGGTTAAAAAGGTTTCGGTTAAGGGAGGTTTCACTGTATTTAAAAAATCTCTCTACTCTGAATATAACTTCTGCTAAAATGTGCTTCAGAAGACAGCTGTCAATCTATATTTGTAATGTGCTTATTTTGTCAAATTGTGCTTCAATCATGTGCATGTAAGACCAAATCATCGGAAAAAAGGGTCAGATGACGTTGTTTCAACGCTCTATCATTTTTTTAACATCTACCTGGATACTGCCGATAAAAAAACTTTATGTGTTCGCCTACTCTTGCGGAGGAGAAAACAAAAACCATACCATCATCTAGTTCTTCCACTACGTAACTGCTACAATCAAAAGATTTGACATTGTGACAATTACACAGTGCGCGACCATTCCTTCATCTAAAAAATGATCCCCAAAAGTGGGATGGAACCCCAGATAGCTGGAGAGAGGTTAAAGAAGCTACCCGAATCACACCGTATCCGTTTGTTGTTGTATCATAACCAAATAATGTTTAAAGAGTGAGTTACATTTTTGTCTTCAAGTTCTTCAAAAAGAAATTTTCTTTTCCTATTCGGCAACTAAAACAGTTCTTTGAAACAAAATGCAAAACCGTGGATCATGGGAAAACATATACCGGATCTTTCCCGTTGTCCTTAGTAAAAGATCAACGAAAGAACCAGAAGAGGAAATCAAAGGTATCAGATCTTCAAACACCCATTGCAATTAGCTCTACCAAACGGTTATACCTTTAGTTTACCCAAAGAAAAGTGTGCTGATCAAAAAGTTCTAATGAAATTCTGTGAAGAAGAGGGATCTAAAGTGTACTACAGCCGGCCTGAGTTACCATCTGAGCCCGATGATGTTCCCGACGATCAAAGCGAAACTTTAGTCAATAATTTGTAGCTTGGTTTGTACTTTTAATATGACGTGGACATGACTTATTTTCTTGTGGCATTTTTAACTGGGAATAAGCCACAATCGAATCAACTATCTTATAAGTATCTAAAGTCATCCCAGGAGCGCAACTCAACAATATTGGCAATATCATTTTAAAGTCGTCTACTTTAAAATGCATAATGTATGTCTGAATTGTCAATATAAATGAGTCAGATAAATTTAAATTATTAGAAGAATTTTTCACTAAGTAACAAAAAAAACAAAAATTGTTTAATTTACTGTTTGTATTTTGAGAACGATTTCCGAAGTGGAAATTGAAACGTCAATAAACGTATTTTTACCTTTAATTGTGACTTATTCCCAGTTAAATAGTAATTAAAAAAATAGAATAAAAATAAAAATGTTTTGATCTGTTCAGACGAAGAACAAATTCAGTCCACATTATATTTAAATATAAAGTAATTAACTACGAAATACAAAATACAATCATATTATTATTATAGTTATTAAGAAAAAGCAAGTACATATCGAACTATGTATCGAACTGAGTATTAAAATATTTAGCTAAAAAGATAAAAAAGCGTAGGATTTTTGTAGATTCAAATTTTGTTTTCTTTCTTCGGAAAAATATAGTTTTTGTAGTTGTCTTTCCCCCTGTACCACAGCCACCTGGAAAAGTAAAGGTGGCTGTGCCTGTACCCTTCAATACGTGTAAAACATCGACAATCAACATCAAGCTGTAATACTGGTGGCCTAACAACGGTTCTTACTCAAATTGACAAGCATATAAAAAAAGTACTGTTCGTGTATTTTTTAGAGTTGTTTTGCAGAAAATTTATTCAAGATAAACAGTGTGAATTTAGATTACATGTTTTAAGACATTTATTTTGTTTGAATGTATTTTATTTCCAAATTATTGTCGATTATATTCGATATAATCGCATTTCAACCGACGACAGCTGTGCAATCGAGTGGTTTAAATGACAACCTTAAGCGAACGAATGGTTTCTTGTCAAAGTTTAGTACGTATGTAGGGCGGGGAGGTTTCGTTATCGTACGTCCTTATTTTCCCGAAAAACAGTGTTTAGAAAAAGAACTAATTGTAACTTTCTGATTTTGACATTCGTGTGTTTCATAAACATTCGAGACTGTTTAGTTTCTTTGGTGAAAAGTGTTTATGAAAGTGGTATGTATCTACATGTACACGATAAATGTAAACAATACCCTCTTCATTTCTTTTCAACTTACATACAAGGTACAGTAAATTAAAGAAAATGTTGACACCACATTGTGTTTTTCATTTATTTAGCGTTTCTCAGGAACTTTTTGAGAAATTTTAGGCTTTAATCAAAAAATAAACGTGTGTTGATGAACCTAATATAAAAGAATAGGGTAATAAAAGCAAACATGGGTGGTTATTAAGTTAAAATATCATAATGAGTGTAAATTAATTGCGTTATCCTGTTACTATTAGGAGACAATTGTAGAAATTAATTAAATCTTACATGATACATTATTGGAAAAGTCATCAAAGTTGGATTATATTGTTGGTTTAAATGCACATCTTGATTAAATGAGTTTTAAATTCTGATACTGCAGATTTATAGACTAATTTCTTAAAAAGCCTGTTAATAATTATCACGTTAAGTAAATGTAAATGCAAAAAGAAGTGGAAATTGTAACACATTTACAGAACTAGCAACAAAGAAACATAAAACTGTTGTTTATAACAAAAACTCTCCAAATACCTATTGTTCAGATTGTAATTTAAAATAGTGAATACTAAGAAATACAGTAAAACTATTAAGAAATATTGTTGTGACTGAAATCACTCAATTGGATTTTATTGCGCTTATAATTAAATTTTATGTTGGTTAGAGTATTAAATAGCTATTTCATATTTCAAAGTAAATATTTTGCCAAGTCTTCAAGCATGGATATTTGTGTTGGTAGAAAAGTAGGATTAGTTTCCTTGATGCATGTTTTTTATTGTATGAGCTGTGGACAGATGATTTTATTTGTTTATTTACGTGATAAACAGATAACTAAATGAATAGTAGTGAATACTATCATGCAAATATATTGGATCTTTCACATTCATTTCTAAATTACCATATTGTTGTTATCACCTTAGTTGTCATTCTTATGCAGTGATCTCAATTAATTTAATATGTTTCTTGTTTATTTCGATATACTGACATTAAAAACACCCGTGGCACATCCACTCGTCATACTGTTCCAATACTAAAAAAGTTGTGATCCATCCACAGGTGAGCACAAACAGATTCTCCATTTTTGGTCACAAATTAGCAGATATTCAGTGCGCTTCTCCATTTTTGTGACAAGAAGAGTTACTTTAGACAGTTTCACTTTTGGTTAATGGTCAGTTCCCACACAGGCCACTTTTCATCAATTTTTATTGAAAGTCACACAATACTGTACATATTTCATGTGTCATACATGACAAGTGGCAAAAGACAAATAAGAGTTGTATCAACAAGTATTGATTTCTGCAGCCGGTTTTTTCTAAAGGTACGTTTTGATCGATGTTCATCTACTTCTTCTTATACTGCCGTGCACCATGCAAAAGATCGCCAATGTTGTAACATTTTTTTTTATTATTAATATATCAAATGATTTTTAGTTTCTTTTACCCCCGTGCGATACGCCGATGATTAGAAATCCCCGTGTTTACGATAGGAAAGTATTATTGTAGACACCAAGCTGAAATGGAATTCCCTAATTAAGAAAGTGTCTCCATTGGTTATCTTTCTAGCACCACCCAAAAAAGATTTCCGAGGTTACAATGTTATTTATGCCTGTCCAGTTTTTTATGTTTCGTAGCCACGACATTTGTTTGCGACCTACTCCACTTTTGCCTTCAATCTTTCCCTGGATGATTAGTTGAGGGATTGCGTATTTGCGAGGGATTGTCGCTACTTTATGAATAACATCGTCAAGTCGAACCCGGGGACGTTTAGCACCCTCGGACCATCTAAGGTCTGTCCGGGACCGAGGGCCTTTGCTTCAATTTTGTCCGACATATAAGGTAATTATTCCAGGGATATCCGTAGGGATCTTTAATGCAGTGGTTTCCCCTTACCTTCTACATCTTTATGCCGTTGGCCAAATTTTGGTTCATCCGCCTTCGGGATCGATTGTTCAACCCCAGGACAAAAAGGTGCCCTACCACTTATCAACTCCTACGCCCGAAGTCGTTGGTCAGTAAGTGGGGGACTGCTTATACCGGCAATCACTCGATGAAATTTTCGCCATATCTGGCTACCCTGACTTAGTTTAGCCTGCAGACCAAGGCAGTTGCCCGGGGTATGGCACGTGGAGCCATAAGTGAGAGTTAGGTGTCTTATGAGGACCAGTTATCAAGAACCATCTCACATCTATGACGCTCGATGTGGTCGTTCCAGTAAAAGGTACTACCATATAACACAACCCTACAACCCCTGTTCATCTACACTGGTTTGAAATTGTTTCCCCTCTGCTCCTGACAGTCCTTTATAGCTGCGGCAGATATTATCAAAAGCCAATACGGCAAATGACGTAATAGTGGAGACCATGATTTAACAAGGAAACATACACAAGAGCTTCAAAATTGCGACATGGAATATAAGACGCATTTTTGACTCGGAAAATTAGTAAATATCGAGCAATTCTTTTTCTTAACGTGCCCCATCCCTGAGGACATTGGCGATCATCATGGCCATTTGACTCTATCTGCAGTTTTCCCACTCCATTGTCTCAGATTCTTCAACCAGGACGTGCGTCTTCCCCCGGTCCTCTTTTGCCTTCCACCTTCCCTTGAATGATCAGCATCAATTCGTATTTCTCGGTTCTTATTATGTGACCAAAGTAGCTCATTTTTCTTTTCTTTATAGTGTTGAGTATTTCTTTATCTTTTTTCATTCTTCTTAGCGTTTCCGCATTTTTTATAATCCACTAGGAAACTAAGTTCCTGTAGCTGGCTGTATACAATATATCACAAAAATTTTTATTTCAAATCCGTTATAAACACATTTTTTATGTGTTGTGTCCAAGATATTTTCCACATTCTTCGATAACATCACATTTCAAAGTTAATGAATAGTTTCTTTGTCGCCTCTATAATTGTCCAGGCTTCAACTAACATACGATATCCAACCGGAGAAATGTTTTTCTTGATTTAATTTTTTCTAGCTTTCCTGATATATCTGTTTCTGTACCTCTGGATCCGTTATTTGAGGAGGGATTTCATCATACACCAGTCAATTTTGACGTAATTGTTGATATAAAAGAATCTGTCCTTAATTATGAAGAATACTATTTTGACTTAAAAAATGGTGATTATGTTGCTTTAAATTATTATTTAGCAGAAGTTGACTGGAATTTATTATTTCTTAACAAAAGCATTAATGACGTAGTTAAAGATTTTTATGATATTTTATTTTATTTAATCGAATTGTTTATACCATTAAAAAAATTTAAAACATCTACATATCCCAAATAGTTTACATCAGAGTTAAAACATTTACTTTATGAGAAGAAAAAAGCACATAAAAAATTTAAAATGACTAGTGGTGATGAGAACTATTGTCTTTTTTCCGATCTCAGGGAACAATGTAAAGAGCTTAGCAAGTATTTACAAAGGCGTCATGTGAATGAAATTGAGGCTAGCATTTTTCAGAATTCTAGTTCCTTCTGGAAATATATTAATAATAAACGCAAATCTCATATTCTACCATCGAGTATGAGTTATGGTAATGAAAGTAGTGAAAATGGTTCAGATATTGTGAATTTATTTGCTGGGTTCTTTTCGACTGTCTATAATAAAGAAAAAATAAATCAGATTCCTAATTTTAAGTACGAAAATTATGTTAATGCTAATAATTATTTAATTAATGTTAAGGATATTATTGATAAAATACAGAATAATCCGTGGAAACTGACAGCGGGTCCAGATGGTATACCAATGTATTTTATTAAAAAATGTGTATTCACTCTTGCTAAACCTATTCAGTTATTATTCAATAAGTCCTTAACTTCTTCTACATTTCCTGATTTTTGGAAAGTGAGTTTTTTAAAACCCATTTTTAAATCTGGTCAAAATAATAATGTTGAAAATTACAGGGCTGTTTGTTTGCAGTCTGAACTACCAAAGTTGCTTGATTTTTTTGTTAACCATATGTTAACCTACGATTGTAAAAATTTAATTCTCGGTCAACAACATGGTTTCTATCAAAAGAAATCTACTTGTACAAATCTTATTTTGTATTCAAACTTCATTGTTGATTCTATGAAATCGGGAAACCAAGTTGACTCCATATATGCTGATTTTGCCAAAGCATTTGACAGGGTAAATCACGAAATATTAATTGCTAAACTTCGTGGATACGGAATTGGAGATAATTTATTGGATTGGATCACGAGTTATTTAACAGATCGTTCACAAATAGTAAAATATGGTAATTTTGTTTCTGAAGCGATTAATGTTACTTGGGGTGTACCTCAAGGTTCTCACTTAGGCCCACTTCTATTTAATCTGTTTGTGAATGATATATCATCAGTAATTAATAATAGTGAATTTCTATTGTTTGCTGATGACATAAAGATCTTTAAAGCAATTAAAAATACCTCTGATATGGATGCTCTTCAGTCTGACTTAAATAATTTATCTCGTTGGTGTGACATTAATGCCTTATATTTAAATATAAAAAAGTGCTATAAAATTACGTTTTCCAGAAATACTAAACATCAGTTATATAGAACATACATACTTAAGGGAGTATCGATTACAGAAGTAAATCAAATTAGAGACTAGAAACTCCCGAGAATTTTCAATATTTACTTTCAAAATTTTGTATTGTTCTCTAGTTCGGTCCATTTTGGAATATTGTAATATTATTTGGTATCCATATTATAATATGTATATTGATCAGTTGGAACGAGTTCAAAATAAATTCCTAAGAATTTGCAGGTATAAAATGGGTTTTAATAGAACTAACTGTGATTATAACTATATTCTTTGTCAACTTAATATGAAAACTTTGGAAAATAGAGAATCTGAGTGTGAATTGCGTTTTTTGCATAAAATTCTTAATGGTTATGTTGATTGTCCGGAACTGCTGGAATTAATTGTTTTTAATGTAAATTCTAGAAGAACACGCTCTCCTGACCTGTTTAGACTAAAGTTTC